TTTTTTATTATTCCCTTAACTAGGAGGGCTAGGACGAAACCAAGAAGAAGGTAACCGAAATAAAGAAGGAAAACGCCGATCGGGCTAGATCGGCGAAGGTAAACCGGGTTAAGTTAGCTATAAAGTAATAGAAGGGCTCCCTTATAATATTAAACGAGAAGTTAAAGGTACGACGATAGTAATTAAATAATAGCCGGTAGAATAAAGTTTCGCGGTAGTTTTTAAGGAGAGATATTAATCGGGATATATCGTACTATCCTTTTTAGTTTAATTATCCTTTACGGTATAATTAAACTAAGAAGGCTATAGTAATACGGTAAAACATACCTTCTTAATATATTACGTAATACGTTACGATAGGTTTTATACCTATATAAAGTAACCATAGCTTCCGTAAGTACGGGATATGCTATACTTATTATCGAGTTTATTATATAGTTAGATTACTATCTTTATTATTTTTACCTTAATTAAAGATTCGTTTTTATTATTAGATTCGCCGTTCTCCGATTAGTATATCTATTTTAATTATAGGCGCTTAAGTTACTTCGTCGTACCGCTATAGCCGAATAAGTAACTTTTACGTTTTGCCCCTTTTTTCCCCTTACCTCTTATACCTTCGGGCTAGCGACTACTACATCTTTACGATTAAGGGGCATAGCTAAGATACGATAACTACATTAGATTCCTTGCCTCTCGATTAATATAGCGATACTAGTTTTATTTATCCTGGACTATCGTACGTACTATAGTCTTCGGTAGAGTATACTTTCGAGTAAACCTATCCGGGTCTTTAGTATCGCGTACGCTCTGCTCCTCCTCAATATAATAAACCTTAATTTAATATTTAAATAACAGATTACTTCATTAATAGTTAAATATAAGTTATTATTTATATAATTTATTATTTATAGATGAAAATATTATTAAAGATGAATGCTTTAATGAAAGCTATTAACTTTAATTATATATTATAAAGCTAATTAAAGAGATATAATTAAAATAATTTGATATTTAATTTCAGAAATGAAAAAATGATTTATATATATATATATATATATCAATATTTACTATATAAAAGTTTATATATTTCTAATTTAACATTTACGATGTAATATATAATTATCAATATAACTTTTACTTTTATTATTTTTACTAAAGGCCTGTTATTTAAACTAATATATTATATAATACTTATCTTAAAGATAGCTGTAATAAATATTAATAAGTTTTAAAAAATTCTGTTTATTAATATTATATCATACTATATTATTAAAAATAATAATAGTATTATCGTACTTTTTAAATATATATATATATATATTCGTACATATATCATTATATAGTATATGAATAATATATATATTTATATATAGATTATGTAAACATGAAAAATTTAATATATTTAATTTCATTATTAAAATTAATCTTTTAATGTAGTGTTAAAATTAGAAATCTTTATTAAAACTCATTTCTTCATTTAAGTTTTAATTTATAAATATAATATTATATAAGTAATGATATATATATTAATAAACTATTAATTAAATTGTTATATTTATTTCATTATATCTCTTTAGTTAGCTTTATAATCTAATGTTAAAATCCTTAACTTTTATTAAAATAGGTTTCTTTTATTTACATTTTTCTTATAAACGTTATATTATATAAATGATGCTCTATATTCATTTATATATTAAGCATTCTTCTATTGAAAGATTAAATATCTATAATTATATTACTTAAATTAATCTATTAATATAAGGTTTAAGTTAGTAACTTTTATTATAATAATCTACTTTAGTTACGTTTTTCTTTATAACCCTTATTCTATATAAGAAATAATTTATATTTACCTATAAATTAAGCATGCATCTATCTATATATCATATAATTTTTATTATATCTTTTAAATTAACGCTATTATATATAATAAAAGTTAATAACTTTCATAATATTAACTATCTTAAACTACTTTCAATTCTTTAAATATTATATAACGTAATATATGATCTATATTTATTTATAGGTTAATCAATTACCTATTCAAATATAAAATCCGTTTAATTATATCCCTTTAAATGATTTAATAATATATAATTGAAGTTGATGACTTTTATAGTAGCTCCATAAGGTGGCCCCATTTTTACGTTTCGGTCGATTTTCAATTCGCGAAAATCGTTTTGTCGGATACGCACTAATGGTGCACCGTACCTGTAGGCAACCTTCTATCGATAAGAGCAACCCCGCCCCCTTTTCCACTACGAAAGGGGATACTAATAAGAACGCGGGGGCGGGGCAGGAATGGACCTGGAAGACATGCAGAAGTAGTTTCACACATTGTTTTCACTAACTTTTCGTTATATACTCCGCGCCGTGACCAAACTGGGTAAATTCCCCGGTAGCAAAATCTAGCGTGGAGCCCTATGTTATAGCTTTTTCTTCTCTCCAAGTTCGTACTAGTCTTATTACGTTGGTAAAAAAAGATTCCGAATTCTAGGGCGAGAATAGGGGGTTCTAGCTGCGACTCGGATAGAACTGTGTTGGGGGAGCGCTTGGATAGCTCGCCGTTGTAGCAACAATAATTGCAAGCGTGTGCCATAGTAAGGCTTTGGTTGTTGACTTCTATTTTTGCTGGTGTGTATGTATGCTAGTTATATGCTGTCCTTGGGCTTAACTTGTCCGCGCCGGAGACTGTTCGCGTGGCCCTTCGACACAACATTCATTACGTGAGTGATTGACTATGCGCGAGGAACCAACAGATCAGCAATATATTATTTATAGGGGTAAGTATATATATATACGTCGAATTTGGTTGCATCAGCAGTTGCCCTTTGTAGCGAACCAATGTCCCGACCCATGACACGCCGCCCACAGATCACTGAAGGGTCACTGTTCTCTTCTTAAATGTGCAAACCGGCAAATTGGCTGCTGACACGAATTTGTGCACTCTCTGGCCGCGACCGCGCGGGTGCTCCTCGAGGGGCCGACGCCCAGTGGCGCCCGGGCGCTGCTCTATTCTATAGCATGATGGCGCCGTTGTGGTTCTCTAAATCGGTCCGAGGGGAACGCCTCTGCCCAACGATTACTCTAGACTGTGCCAAAAGGCTTAGGCATTCCCACTGGATTCGGATCCTCTCATGTCATAGTGTAAGGCAAAGAGACTCATATTTTTGTTTTCCATATGAAGGCCGTACACCTGTGACGTTCGAATCCCCCCCAATCGTCGGTAATGAGCTTGTTAGCTCCGGTACAGGACTAGCGTGTTCCGCCTCGAGTTATGCCGGTGTTGTTGCTTGTAAGCTATGATAATACTCGGACTTAGGTATAAATCTGGCATATTGATGCTGGCTCCAGCCACAGTGATATTCGTGCTACGCCTCAGGACGTTTCCAAAATTAACGTCGAGTAGGTATCTAACAACTGCCCGTTGAGATACCTACGTTTTCTTTAGGCTCGGAGGTCGCTATTGGACTGGATTCTAGAGTCTCCGTTTAGGCTCACGGATCTATCTAATGTTTGTCGACACGGACTAGAGCTCAGCCACCCAAAGGGCATTCACTCGACAGCTCTGTATATGTAGACATGCAGACAGACATGCGAGGTTGTGACGGACAGCCCTGCCAAGATTAATGAGGTTGGCTGGGCGCCTTTGACGGGATTTACCCGTCTAATCATCAATCTTGCGTGATAGCCGGCGAGGGGGGTCATAACTAGATCTTACCTATAGGAGCCGCTCTACAGCCTGTCAGGATTATCGCTCAGGATGGTGTGAGGTCGACATACGGAGTATTGGGCGGACGCATGTTGGCAATGGCTTTTTAATGGTGGTGTTTAATAACGATCACCGCCCCAACCTACTCAGTCGGCGGGGCTGGGGTCTGCCATGCCACTATTTTTTTCACCGCGTTATTGGTTTGCAATCGGTGTTTCTATTCTCACGACCCGGCTCCAATGTCGCCCACGTTCGATTCTGTGGCTTAGTGAACTAGCTGCCAACGAGGCCTATGAAAGGTATCACACCGAGCGGCGGTCACCTGTTGTTTATACGTAGCTTATGGGCATGGACGTCTTCTCGGTAGGTTGTCTGGGTATGGGGAAGCTCTCCTCGAAGCCCCGGCCTGTTTCCAAAAGGCCTCCCAAAGCGGTCGTTTCGAATCCGGCATGGAGTCTAATCTCCCTGGGTCAAGGCCAAGCCCTCTAGGGGACTCTGCCCCTGAACTACTGCGCCTGGGCGAGGCGGCCGGGGTTCGTGAATACTACGCAGGATCATCTCCCGGCACATTCACACATCCTGAATACGTGCATCGTGTTTATGTGAACATCTCGATACATTAGGTATCTATCCTGATGTGCCAAACCACACCCTTGCACCAACACTAGCACTACTATCTTGATTCTCATCGCATCGAGAATAGCCCTACATCAATGTGCCGGCACTGCCCTGTTGGGCATTTGCGTGATGTCCCCCTCTCCCTGTTAGCACGTTCACACACGTAAAGAGCGGCTCCTCTCCGTGGGTATTGCGCCTCGACCGTGCTAGACTCGCTCGCGCTTTCGCAAGAGACAGAGCGCGAGTGAGGAGAGCGGAGAGAAACGAAGAGGATATCGTATAAACATGGGACCGGCACTTTCGGCTCGCGCAGCACCGCCACCGAACGGTGTGGTAAGTTGGCCGAAAACGCAGCTGGTCTCTGACGCATGAACCCACACGATACGCTGTGACGGTATGACATCCCAGGAATCCTGTGGAGGTGGATCTAGATGGGACGGTGGCAGGCGGAGCCGGGATATGTCCAGGTGGTCTCCGGGTACCACGACGTAGTGGTAGCAGTAGGAACAAAAAAAGCCGGAGCTGAAACATGGATACCCTCCCAAATTATCTCGGTTGGCTATGATGTTAAGCTCTTCTCTTCTCTTCTCTCCACCTAATACTCACTCACTTGTACATAACTTCGCCGTCTTTCCTTTCTCCGTCACGCCGTTGCGCCTTGAAGCTATCACTTCCCGTGTTGTTTTCTGTCTATTTGTCCCTGTCTGTATTTACCGTTGCACCTCGTCATCGCCGGCCGAAGAACGAACATTCCCTTTGCGACAATCCCTAATCCGCAACTCATAGCAACCACAACAACCAAGATGCAGTTCAAGACCCTCGCCCTAACCCTCTTCCTCGCCGCAGCAGCGGCCGAGAGCGTCCAGGAGCTCGTTGCGCAGATCCCCGCGTGCGCAAAGACCTGCCTCGACAACGCATCCACGGAGGTCGGCTGCGCCGTCTCCGACAACAAGTGCCAGTGCGGCAAGGCCAATGACCTTACCCAGGCCTCTTTGATCTGCGTCTCGACCTCCTGCACCTCCGATGAGCTATCCGGTACGTTCCCCTCCCTCCCCCCGCTCTACCCCTTATACGCAACTCCTTCCAACGGGAGCCACGAGAAGCATCGTAACTAACCCGCGGTATGTGTACGTGTAGACACGACGGAGCTCTCGGCCCGGATCTGCGCGGCCGTCGCCCTGGAAGCTGGCGGCGACGCCATCAAGTCGGCTGGCTCGGCGGCTACCTCGGCCCTAGGCGATGCGGGCTCCGCCGCGACCTCGGTCCTAGGCAACGCGGGTGCGGCCGCGACGTCGCTGATCGGCGATGCTGCCGGCCACGTCAGCTCCCTCATCGCCGACGCCACTGGCGGTTCACCCGCCACCCCGACACCCGCTAGCCCCGCGGCTGCGAACCCGGCTCCTGCCGACCCTGCGACTCCCACTCCCGGCGCTGGCAACCGGTTCGTCGCCGGCCTCGGCTTCGCCGCGGCTATGGCTGCTCTCGCTCTGTAGAGAGACAAGGACGGAAGGAGAGAGACAGACGTGCTAGGTATACAAGATGTTGAGGTTTTGAGTTCGTGTATATAGATGGCGCGGCCTTTTCGTGGGTGGCATGTGTGTCTGGGTAACAGTATCTTCTCTTGAGCGACGCACGGAAATTATCATTCTTCATGCAATTATCAGCACAGTTCCTTCGATTGAAGCCAAAAACGTCAATTGATTAGAAACGAGTGAACGGCAATTGTCCATCACCTCTATGTTCTATATATCAGTATATATTATCAAGAATTTTATGAGGGACGCGGTATCACGGGGCACGCATCTATGAGCGTGACCTAGAGTCTAAAAACTTGCCCGGATGCGAATGTGAGAGGTATAGACAGATGTTCACTTATCAAAATATACCGAACTGTCCCAGGGCGCCATCTTCGCCGCCGTCGAAGCGGGTCTGCAATTCATCGAGCGCCGCAAATTGGGCGGCGAATTCGTAGCCTTTCCGCCGAATCTCTTCCGTTTTCTTCCAGTCCCAAGCCACCTCATTGGCGTGAGTACCGTTGCCGTTGAGTGCGGTGTCGCCGTTTGTTTCGGCGTTGCCGTTGGCGTGCACAACCGGCAGAGCCGCGCCGTCTTCGGCAGATATCCAGCCACCGGGTCTTGCTGGGAGCAGTCCGCTAGCCTCGATGATAATCGCAGGGTGCACCGTCAGCCGGCCGATCTTGAACACGTATTTGGAGACGGCCGTGGCGTGGACCTTCTTCTCCCAGTCCTCCGGCTGCCCTTCGCTCTTCCTCGTCGGGCCGAAGTTGCCCGAGTCCCAGGAGCGCGGCTGCACTGCGCCCTTTTCGACGAAGTGGGTAACGACGTACAACCACTTGCGATCCCAGCTGAGGATACGTGTCCACATCTCAAATTTCTGGTACGGCAGTAATTCCTTCTTAAAGCTGCACTCCACGGCGCCGAGCATGATATTGAACCTGCCCTTAGCCGGCCGAGACGGATCGGCAGGGTCCAAGACCAGCTTGGTGGTGGCGTTGTTCGCGACGGCGCGACTGCCCCGCGCGAGAAGGTGGCAGACCAGATGCGTGCGGCCTACATCAAGGTCGGCGAAGTAGGTAGAGTTGGATTTATGCACGTTGTAGTCGACCTCGAGCAGGGTCACATGCGACGTTGTGATGACAGGGTGGAAGAGCTTGTCCGGGGTGTGGGTGTTGTATGAGCGAAAGGCGAAATGGGATATCATGGCGCTCCACACGCGAAACTGCGGTTAATTGTTTAGCGACTCTTCTCAAGGGACAGCGAGGATGGTGCTAGAAGCCAGGGAGCGTCATACGGTCCAGGTGAGAGGAAAGCTCTTCCAGTTGACGAGGATGACGACCAACGCCACGATACGGCTCGTCCGGCCGGGGCCGGTGAAGAATGGCTCGAGAGATCCCCACGCATTTCCCTTGTAGGCGCCATACACGAGAGCTGGCAAGAGGGCGGACGCGGCGACTCTTAAGGCTTGACTCGTCGCACCTATCGAAGACGCCATGGCTTCCGCTGCGTCGGCGGCTTAGGGGGATCCTCGCAATAAGGGCTCGCGACCGGCTACGAGGGCTCGGATCTGCTTTCGAAGGAAGCTTAGAAGAAGGATAGCGAGGGCGATAGCCCAGAGCGGCGCAGATCGAAGATAGCAGAAGATTGTGCTGGTGCACTTCGCGACGAGGGCGCTGTGATTCGGGGCCAAGGGCATTCGAGTTCGGGATTTTCTTTTCTTGATGACGCCGGTCGTAGGTTAAGAAGAGGAGGAGGAGGGGAATAGGGCCGCCTCGTCAATTCAACGTACACCGAACTTAGCAGCGGAGCCAGGGGAGAGATCGATCCCACTCGCGTAGAAGTGGGTAGGAAGTGCCGCCATGGGAAAAAAGACGCGAGCTGCCACGGGTTGACGTGCTAAAGGCTGCCGGGCGCGATTAGATACGGAATCCTTTAGCAAGTTGAGCCGAGGCATCTGCTCCACCGGACCGGAGCGTACCTGGACACCGCCATTACTCCAGGGTGTACATATAAGGCGTTGCTGCTTACTACGAGCACCTCGACAGCGCCAAGCCAGCTGAGGTCTCCTAGGACGCATTTTGCTTACTACGTACGCACCTCTTGTAAAAACCTCCCATCCCACTATGCCGAGGAAAAACCCTCACCTTCTTCTTTCACATAGTGAGCGCATAACCGAGATTCTTAACCGTAGCATATCTAAGCTCTGGGTCGTCGTAGCATCCTTCATATCATGCCAGAGCGCAGCGCCTCGCACCACCGCTCGTCGACCGTTAAGCCATATCCCGCCCCTTAACCTGATGCTCATTTCCCCCCCTCACGAGCAGCTGGGATGCTTACCGCTTCATAGCAAATCTGAGGCTGCCTAGACCGCCGTAGCTGATACGAGATCCGTCCTCTGTTTGCGCTCGCGCCCGCCCGATAATATGGTGATCGCAGTCATATCGATGAAAGACTCCGGCTCTGCCTACAGGGCCACTGCCCAGAAATGATTTTCGACACCCGCTACCTCTGCGATCATTACGATGGTAAATACGAAAGCTCCTCGGAGGCGTGGGCGGACACGCCGGACCTGTGCTCGGGTCGAGGACTGAACACACTTATAAATACACTCGCAGTGGCGATACGGACACCTTGAGGTTGCGAGCCGTTGTGTGCAACAAGGCTACGGCGGCTCATTTTCTGGTGACGTTAAGCCCCCCTGTCGGCGTCGTTGTTCCTGATGGTTGTGGCATGCGAAGGAGATTCTGGGGAGCAGTGCTCGAGGTGGCCTTCGACTTTATTTCCCGCTTGAGTAGGCTCGTCTTCCTCTTCGCCTGGCATCGTGGCTTCTGGCGCGGTACTTCCCTACGTTGGATATGCACTCAGATACTCTAATAGGGGGCCGCCGGTTCTCTGGCCACGACGAAAGGATTTAACGCAAATGAAGATACCTATTCATGGCCCGCTGCTTTACAAACTGTGTTTTTCATACTGATTTACAGAGAAGCGATATTCTTTAATTTATTAATAGCGAAAACTAGGAAAAATAAAAACTTAAAGCAAAATTAATTTACGTAAGGTTTTGAATAACTATTTATATGAGTTTTGTATATATATTTTTATTATTTATTGTTTTTTAAATAAAATATTTATCTATAGCGCTATTTATATTTATAGTAGAGAAATAGCGTAGGTATGCTGTAAAGAGCCTTGTATAGATAGAGTTGAAAAAGAAAAAAGAGAATGTAAAGCTTAGGAAGGCATATTTAAAGAAGTAGTATTCCTAACTATGTGAATTCTATAGATTGAAGATTGTCCAAAGAGAAACTAAGTGCAAAATATATATAAATACTCATCGAAAAGGCTACGTAGTCTAGTTCCACTACACTACTCCAGTATTTATAGTATTTCACTCATCTAATATACTAAGATCAAACCTGTGCCACAGTCCGAAATAGGCCAAGGTCTTACGAAGGTGATTGGTCCATGAAAATGGCGAAACGGTCGTAATCACGTAAGCCGCTCTATAAAGCCATACGAAGCTACACGCCTACGTCTAGAACGTTTCTACGTACCTATACGCTTACGTTTAGAACGTTCGTACCTACGTACCCGTACGGTTACGTCTATAGCGTTCGTACCTACGTACCTATACGCCGTACGCTTACGCTTTACGTTACGTAATATATAGTATAAATCAACTATATACGTAAATAATTAATATTAAATATTATACTTTCTTATAAATTATATATTAATTAAATAATTGATTCTTTTTAAGTAAATATACGTTTTAATATAATTATTTACCACTTATTATATAATTATTTTAAACTTATAAATTAAAGCCTTTAAGTTAAATAGAACCTAATAATAAATTAAATTATATAATATATAATAATCTATTTAAACGTTTACGTTTATATGTATTAACGGTTTATATTATAAAAAAATATAATAAATATAATAAATATAATAAATATAATAAATATAATAAATATAATAAATATAATAAATATAATACGTAGCTATATAAAGGAGCTACGTGCACGAGAGCGCGCGCAGAGAGCTATCTTACGAGTAACGGGAGGAGGAGTAAAAAGAAGGTGAAAAGGTCTTCGATCTATTTAAGAACGAGCTAAAGGAATGGAAGTAACGAAGCGAATATATAAGAGCTCTTATTACTAAGATGTCACGTAGAGAGCCACCTGTACATGGCTCTCTACTTCTTCTCTAGTTGCTCGCTTACGTAATATAGCTCGTAGCTTTTTATTATCTATATATAGGTAGTTCGTATCTCTTTTATTTATCTCCTTCCTTTTTAGATAGTTAATTAATTTACCTTCTTCTTTCTACCTTTTGTTACTTCTAAGAAATAACCTTAATACTTACGTAGCTCTCCCGATCTACGTAATAATTATAAGCCCGGTAGCTCTTCCAAGGAGCTAAGTTAACTAAGGTCTTACTATATAAGCTTTCGAGTAATCTTATTATTTATCTTTATTTCTTTAATCTCTCGATTAATCGTTTCTTCCTTTAAATATCGCTCTTATTTATATCGCTTTCGTCTTCCTTTTAAGTAATATATCTATAGTAACTACTAGTATTAGCGGAAACTTTTCCATTAAGAAGTTACCTATTAATATTAACCTTCGTAACTTCGATGAATATTTATAATAATTTATTACTTTCTAAAATTACGCCGAGTAATTCGATATCTAAAATGATATTAATCCTAATATAAACGATTATAAGCTAAGCTCGGCGATACTTCTATCGCTTAAAGAATTTATTACTTAGGAAAAGAAACGAGCGAGGAAGTAATACCTCTAAGCTTTTTACGAATACGTTAAGAAAGATCTTGAAACTCGTAAGAAGAAGCTAAAAGCTCTAACCGAAAACCCGCGCTATTTTTATATCGAAAAATATAAGTAATTATATCCTCGGTCTTTATTAACTACCTCGAGCTCGTCGGTATATAGCTTAAACCTTAGAGACTTCAGCCGAACGTTTAAAATACCGTAAGAATATTCCGCGATTACTTTACTTCTACCTTTATTACTACGTAAACGTTTGTTCGTTAGGAGTACCGCGAGGTCCTATAAAAGATAAAGGCGGGTATCTTCTATAGAAAATAATTCTTTACCGCTTAGAATAACGCTTACTACTGTAGTAGTGCGGTAAGACATGCCCTCTTAATGGATCACGTAACACGCTACGATAGGCCTTATGCCTATATAAAGTAACCATAGCTCCCGTAAGTACGGGCTATGCCATGCTTATTATCTAGTTTACGACCTAGCTAGATTACTATCTTTATTATTTTTACCTTAATTAAAGATTTATTTTTACTATTAGATTCGTCGTTTTCCGATTAGTATATTTATCTTAGTTATAGGTACTTAAGTTACTTCGTCGTACCGCTATAGCCGAATAAATAACTTTTACGTTTTACTCCTTTTCTTTCCTTACCTCTTATACCTTCGGGCTAGCGACTACTATATCTCTACGACTAAGGGACATAGCTAAGATATGATAACTACATTAGATTCCTTATCTTTCGATTAATATAGCGATGCTAGTTTCATTTATCTTGGATCATCGTACGAGCTATAGTCTTCGATAGAGTGCACTTTCGAGTGAACCTATCCGGGTCTTTAGTATCGCGTACGCTCTGCTCCTCCTTACTACCGAGCTTTCGCTTACGATATTAACGAGATCTAAAGCGTACTCGGAACGAAGGACTTCCTCGAAGCTATTAAAGCTAAGATCGCTTTAAACTAAGCTATTCGCGCGATTATTAAATTAATTACGGCGGACCGGCTTAAACGATAGCTACTTTCCTTTATAAAGTTAAGTAAAATATTCGGAACTTTTATTTCCGAGAATAAAAAGATAGGTAAATCGGGTCTTTATATCTTAGCTACGTATTAAAGAGTTACTTTAAGATATAAAGCTAGAGGAATTAGCGTTAATAGCTCTAATAGTTTTAATAGCTCGACCGATAACACTAAAGTTAATAAGTATCTATATAATAAATAATACCGTTAAGCTCCGGAGATATACGCTAACCTTTAATTCGTTATTACCGGTAAAACGCTACGATAAATCTCGCATATATCCGACGACGTAAAACTAATTATTAAATAATAATATAACTTAAGCGACTTCGTCTTATTCCGAGCTTTTATTAAGAGCGACGAATAAAAGGTTACCGCTTTTAATTAAAGTAGCTCCTTTAGAATTAATATTCCCCGGAATAAGCGTAATAAAAATAATAAGTAATCCGGTAATATTAACGTAACGGTAATCGACCTACGTATTATCTATATAGCCTCTAACGTAAGGGTATTGTAGTGGTGCGGGATTACTAAGGGGAAAAAGACCCGATAAAAAAAAATCGAAAGATTAAATAAAACCGAAAAAAGGCTCCGAGTAATTCTAATACCTTAAAACTAGATACCTTAGTCCGGAAACGCTTAAAGTACTCGTAAAATATACCTAGAATATCGAGATTAACGGTATACCTACGCTTAAGTACGAATACTATAGGCTTACGATAGGTAAGAAAGTAATCTCGGGCCGATTATTATTATATCGCTCGCTACGCCCTTTTTAGTGTATATATTAGGATTTATTTAACCTTCCGGAAGGATACGACGGCTTTAAATAAATACTTATTATTAGAGATAAATATAGCGAAATACTCTAGGTAAGAACCCTTAAGAGTAAATAAGGTTACTTAGTTACGAAGATTATTCGATTCTTTAAAAGATAGGTACGACGATAGTTCCGTTTCTCGATCTATAAGCTCCGATACGATAACGAACGAGTAATGATCGGGATTAAAAGCCTAACCGGATATAAGATCTAGGCTTAAAAAGAAGATATTAATCACGAGCTATTACCAGCGAATACTAAAGAGTTAATTAATAAAGATAAGAGAACTAGATAATTCGTTATCGTTAAATCG